TATTATAATAAAATTCAAAAAAAATCAATGAATTTAAAGTCATGTTACATAGTTATGAGCAAATTTTTCCGCAAAAAAGAAGGTAGTTGGCAAAAAAACGCGCTCAACATCTGTAGGTTTGATACTGAGCAAACTTTTATGTACATTTTGAAGGTTACCAGTATTTTTCTATAAAAGAAATTCAGCCAATTCGTATTTACCATCTTAATTTTTTTTTAACTTTTAATCTTTAAAATAAATTTAAATTTTCACTTTTCAATCAATTTCAGATTTAAGAAATATTGAAAAAAGCCAATTTTTAAAAAAACGCTGGTTTTTTTGCTGGTTTGAATTACCAGCATGCGGTTTTTTGGTTGAAAAACCAGCAAAAACCAGCATGCTGGTACCAGCAATAAGCAACCCTACTTCGTACTGTATTTGCACCATTCAAGTGTTCGCAGCTAAAAACGAAATCTTAGTCTTTACGATTTTATTCATAAATCTTTACTTCTATACCTCCAACAACCAAAATTCTTTCAAGATGTACGTTTACTTCTTTTTTCGGAAACGATGATAAAATTTCATGAGGCATGTGAGACGTTGAAGAGTTTTTATTTAAAGCTTCGTGATATTTCTCAAAATAACCTAAGGATCTTGAGACAGCACATTTTGCAGAAGGANCTACTTGTAATTTACTTAAATTATAAAAATAAATGTTGATAAATTTAAAGCAGAAAAAGTTATCATATTTTAGGATAATTTTGAAAGTTAATTTGTCAATTTTCGAAATTTTCGCTAAATTTAGGAACAAAAATTGAAGCAAAAATATAACTAGTATTCGGCGAATAACGTACCGAATATTCGGCGAATATTCGGTATGCCAAATACTTGCATAAAAGTACGAATACACGAATATTCGCATTCGCCGAATACGTACCCTACATGTGAGACGTTGAAGAGTTTTTATTTAAAGCTTCGTGATATTTCTCAAAATAACCTAAGGATCTTGAGACAGCACATTTTGCAGAAGGAAACTGTCGGAATTATTTATATTCCTTTGGTATTATGCAAAACAGTTTATAGTTCAATTTATTTCCCATTGTTGATTATCATCATCATAATCTGAAGCATCTGTAATGTATTAAATTTGAGTAGCTTTTCTTGGGAAAGTTTTTCTGATAAATTGCTTCGAAAATATGACTTGATGAGTTCATAAATGTATAAGTTTATGTTAACATATCATTTCCCATTAGAAAGCAAAAGAAAACGACTCAGTTTGTTTGTTGATAAATGTCGTGAGAGTTTTATATAAAAAACATCTTCAAGATATTTTGTTCGAACAACTTTTGTGACAAGTTTTATAAAAATGTATTTGGGACTGCTTACCTTTCTTTCCTTGTAATTATAAACATTTCTCAATACCAATATTAGCTTTTGAAAGAGATATTAATTGCTAGTTAGAATTGTAAGAAACTTACGAACTTTTTTCAAACATAAAAAAAATTGACGATGATTAAAATACTTCCTGATTGTCCATTATGCTTGTAAAAGTCTTTCGTTTGATGAAACAGATGTTATTTTTGAACTATGATGTCAATTAAATATTCATTCGTCATAATGAAGGGAAAGGAACAACAAACAAATGCCTTACTTGAAAGACGAACGGACGAAAGCTTCTTGAATGATGAACAAGCGAAAATTTAAATGCGGGTGTTAATCCTTCTCGGAAAAACTTTTCGTGGAGTTTGAAGATGCTAAATAATCCTTAACCAGTACCTCAATATTAAAGATTTTCTTATAATTAAAATCTTAAAGGCAAAAATGAAAAGAAAATCGCTAACGACATTAATTTTGAAAGGTCTGAAAGCTCCCAGACAAGTAACAAATTTTAAACATTCTGAGAGAATAAGAGAAAAAATATTAATCAGTGTCTTTAAATATTTATTTATAAAACAAACGTGGTTCATGCGAAAATTTAAAATTATTAACATCTTTAAATCACGAAGAGCATCTGTTCAAAAAAAAGTTTTCTTATTCATCTTGTTTGGATTTTTCGTCAATTTTTCATTTCAACATCGTCGTCACAACTCAACATTAATTTATTTTCGTTTACCAGAAATTGTGTGCATTTGGAATATAAAGTGAACGAATGAATCAACCGAAGAATAAACAAATCAAGATGAAAATCAATTTGAAGATGTTCTATTCATAAGAAATTCACAACACTTTTAAATAAATCATTCATCTGGTGCATATCTGTTTGAGATTGGAAAGTAAATTTACTTACTTTTGCTCGTCGTCATGTTGCGAAGTGGCCCCAAAATAAGTTCCATTTAAACTCTCTTTTGACAGCAAGACAATTGCAACTTTGCGAGTTTACATCCTATTTATTTAAAAGAAAACTTTCTGAGTGTAAAAGTATTTCTTTTGTCCATTCTACTCCTAAAATAACAATTTGAGAAAGAAATTGGAATATCTGAAATCTGATGAAAAGAAATTCATTTCAATTTAAAGACATAAATGAAATGGTCGCACAAAATTTCTCCAGGCATTATTTTGTAGAGCGGGACCGTGCCAAGTTGAAAGAGACATTGTTCTTCTTGTCAAGAATTTTCTTTTAAAAGAAAGTTTCTTTTCTATAATGAAAAAGAATAAGAGCTGTCAAAGTGTTTTATTTCTACGTTTTCCAATAATGATTCGTAGGAAAGGCTGAGACTTCTTGATCAAAAATAATGCTGAAAATTGAGAGCCTTCTGAATGTTGACAAAACCAATTCTTGATTGAATTGAAGGGAATCCCTTGAGAAATATTTTATTTGCGGGAAATATGATTGAATTCTCTTACCGTTTACATCGCAATTCATACCAAAATGGATGAAATTTGATATCGTGATCTGAAAAGTTAGACAGGTGAATGAAAATTATAATATGAAAAGATTATTTTATAAGTTTTTATTTCTTCTAGATATATCAATTAGATATCATAATTTGAACAGATTTTATTTTAACTTTATTCTAGCCTTGTTCATCAATTAGTGTCAATTCAGAAATATTTTTAACTTAAATTATTGCATTTTCCTACATGGTAATTGCATGAAGTATTTTTTTTCTTTGTTCTTGATTCTCTTTGAATATTTATTACTAGAAACTTAGGTCATTTTTCTGTTTTGTGTATCTCATCATTAGAAAAACATAAAATATCAATTGGATATTTTAATTTGTACAGATTGTCAATGTAATTTAACATTTTCCTTTTTAATTTCTCTTTATAAGATGTCGAATTTCTTTAAGAGTTATTCATATAAATTCTTCAGTTGTTCAACCTTATTATGTTTAAAATTTCATTTTTATAAATAGTTTTTCCTTCATTTCATGTAAATAATGTTCAATTGTCAGCACCTTTTCCTTAAGAATTCTTTACTGGTTCTTTCTGTCGTCTTTAAAATTATGTGAAAGCATGCAGATGAAAAGAGACATTTGTAGTAGTCAAACAGCAAACTTAATGTTCTTAAAAAGCTTTATTCATTCTCTTTATTAAAATGAATGAAAATCAAAAAAGGCACATTTGCATTTAAAATTACAACGAAATATTACGTAATAAGAGAATTTTCGTGCTGTTCGTGCAACCATTTTAATAAATTCATTTCAAAGTTATAAATTATTCAAATGTTGCTAAAATAATCGCAGACGCAGTTAAAGAAGAACATAATAATTTCTGAAGCACTTGAATTTAAATATCAAGGAAATTAGCTGGCAAAAAGCTTTCTCTCAACCCTTAAAGCCTTTTTATTTTCAATCGTTTGAATGTTTTGCGAAATTGAGGATTGAAAGGATTTGATGTAATCATGAAAATATATCATGACTCGGCTAAAATTCATTACTGTTTGAAGCATTTCTTACCCAAAAAAGTTAAATTTAAAATATATTTTGTGAAGTGAAAGGCAAACAAGGTTCACGTTGATCTCGGTTAAGTCCTAACAAAATATTTTTATTTTTTTCCCTACAATCTTATAAAAGAAAATGAAATTTATTTTTTCTGAAATTTTCACAAAAATGAATAATTCACGCCATGTGAAGATGGAAAGTTCAAAGAACCTCGAAGAGCGAACGAATGAACGAGCCAACGTTTTAAAACTCACTTTTCCGGAAGATCCTGATAAAATGAGTTTCAAAAATCCGCCTTTTAACTTCAAAAGATAGGAATAAAACGCAATTTCCACTCCATGGTTTTCTTTTGCGATGTGAAAATTGTTGTACAAATATTTTATTTGGGGTTTAGAGAAATTTGATATGTTTGTTAGGAGTAGGATTTCTTTGTGCTTATTTTATGATACATTGATAAAGGGAAAATATCGTAATTGAGTCTTGCACGTGAGAAAAACAGAGACAGAGAATAATATGAAAGGCGAAGAGAAAGAAAACGAAACTTTTCATTAAAAAAGGTTGACCCTTCAAACGAATTTCTATCCGAATCGTTTTAAATAAATAATGAAAACTGACCCTACGATAATATCCACAAAAATTGAATAAAGCAATTCTTAATGAGAGACGACAAACTTTTTCAATTATTTCATCTAAACCAAGCATTGTATCTAATTTTTAATTATTACGATACGAGCTTTCCAGGAACTTTAAAGAAAGAAAAGTAATAAAAGACAAAGAGAGATGAAAACATGCGACAATAACCTTTTGTATGTTCATGTTGAATGAGCAGATGTACGAAAGAAAAGTTATGTTCAACTAAGATACATGTTTGTGCTTCTTAGAAAAAAGAGAAGAAAAGTTAAGTTGAATTATTATGTCTTAAAAGAGTCTTTAAGCGTTGAGTCTTTTGAATGTTTATTCTTCTTCTATGCGTATCAATATTTATCTTAAATTTTTTTCCATCCGTCATTTCATTCTCGATCAATCATATTTTTTTGTTCTTATATTTTCATTTGGGTAAAAAAAGAATTTTCATTGAGAATTTTTTTTATTTCCGGAGCCATCACAAAATCGATTTTCGTTAATTTATTTAGACTTTATTTTAACTGTGCTGCGCAAAAGATTTTCATTAAAATTAAATTTCTTGATCAATACGATTTAGTTTTTATAAATGTGTGTCTTCTTAAAGAAAAATGTTCGCGTTGTATAGTGATAAATAGGAAAACATTTAGGCAATTAATAGATAAGTCTTTCGTTCCATTAATCATTCCCTTCTCATTTTTCAACAACTTTTCTTTGAAACATTAGAGAGTGGGAGTAAAATATTAAAGTTACGTCTTGAAGAAATTAATGTTGCTATTTGTAGACCAGGTTAAAGACATTATTTGATGGCTGGCGCAGCAGTTACCGTGTCACAGAATTAACGAGGCTTATATCTATATTTATAACTTAAAATATATTTTCTTTTTATCTCAACAAATGGTAAGAGAGTATAAATTGGAAAAATACTTAAAGAGAAACCGAGCGACATTTGTCAATCAGGGTCGAAATGAAATTTTACAAATCACATGTCACTTCGGCCTAATACCTTGTTTTCCTTCCGTCAATAATCGCAAACAAACGATTTTATGTACAAAACTCCCCCGTCTCATCGTTATTATAAAACTGGATAAGCTCCTAACAAATTTCAATAAATTTTTTGTTTTGTGTCTATAAAAATTGAAACTATTAAACTAGAAATTGATATAAAAATAAATTTAAGACTTAAATGGCAGTTATTGAAAATGGACGAATGAAAGCCCTTGATTTTGTGATAAAAATCTCGTAAAACAAGTATGAAATACCAAGAAGAAATCTATAAAATGCTTTGCATCCTTTCGATTTTATTTCTGATAGGTTGCTGATCTTGAAATTCAATTCATTCATTCCCATCCTTACAAAATGTCACAACATTTGAGGCTCAAATCAAGAAAGAAACCAACTTCATGCTTGAAAATGGCACGCGTAGCACAATAAATATATTTGAACGATATTTTGTGTGAATAAAGATAGAAAAAAAATAAAAAAAATGAGAGAGAAGAAAAAAAATATCAAATGACATCAAATGGCTTTTCATTGTTTGACATAAAAGACGTGCTTCTATTCGCATCACAAATTGTTTTCTCTTTTCTACATCTTGTTCGGTAAATATTCTTCAGACATATGCGTTGCTTAGTTCAATAGTGATTAGCTTACATATTCAAAAAAAAACATCTTGAATTCGAAACGTAAGACATCCTGGAAAATTTCTCGTTAGCATTAAACGAGACATCATTCACTACTCCAAGTGAGTACATCATTACGCGATTAAATCTCATTTCCATTTATTCTTTCTTTTTCTTTGATAAGAATTTTCTCTTCATCATGAATGGAAAATATTTATCTATAAATAGATGTTGGAAAAAAAGTCTAAAAATTGTATCAAGTTTTTAATCCACGAGAGATCATGAATGAAAGTTGCAAAGATTTTAAACATCATAATTACCAGTAAACGAAATGAGAAATTGAAAACTTGGATAATCCATAATTAAAACAATAAGCTTAAAATGCTGGAAATTTGCATTGATGGATCACGTAATGAAAGCCATTGCGAATCTTTTTTCATCTTTGTTTTGCTCCTTCTGAGAACATCGAAGAAAAGACGACTTTTCAACAACTTTGTCTGCTTATTTAGCGTCATAGAAAAAGGTCTTTTCATGACTCAATTTATCTTAAGCGATTAGAGCCAATGTTGTGCGTAGCTATAAGAAATCATCTTCAATGTCCCACCATGTTTAATTCTAATTAATTGATGTCGAGTTTCAGAGAAAGCTTTCACGCGCGCCTTGATTTGTGTGCTGTGTTATTTCGGTATTTACTACAACACGTTGCGAATGTGGATCACCGTATTGACTGTGATAGAAGTCTTCTCGCATCATAATATTCAGACTTGAGCAACGGAAATAAAGAATCTCTTGAAAAGGTTTGCGAAAGTCGCGATTGAGCGTTGCATAAATTATTGGATTTAAAAGACTATTCGCATATCCTAGCCAAAGGAAAATTGATGAAAGTGTATGATATTCTGCTCCTGTGATTGGTTTTACAAGTGCTAAAATGAAAAACGGAAGCCAACACACAGTGAAAGCTGACATGATGATGCCTAATGTTGTTGACGCTTTTCTTTCTTTGGCTAATTGAAAGCGTAATTTTTTTTGGTGGGGCGAACCTATTGCATTGATTGGCTTTTCTTGTGTCTGTTGAGGTACACCATTATTAAGTGCACCTTCAAGTCTTGTCTGAGCACGCTTTTCGTCCATAACTATCCGTCTAGCTGCACGAAAGATTTGATAATAGACAAACAGCATGACTGCTAAAGGAATATAAAACGAACCGAGTGTCGCGTAAATTTGATAAGCGAAATTCTGACACACCATGCATGCTGGTCGCCCATCTACTATATGTTCATTGCCTAGAATTAATAAAGGTGGGAGGGAAATACAAGCAGCTCCTAGCCATACCAACGCTACACACAACATCATTCGACGCGGTGTTCTCTTAACTCCATATTCTAATGGTTTTGTGATGGCCCAATATCTGTCGACAGATATTGCACACAAATTAAGGATCGATGCCGTGCACGACAAGACATCGAAGCTTACCCAAATATCACAAAATAATGTACCGAAGCGCCATTCTTCGAGAACTTCATACAGTAGCGCCGTGGGCATGACTAGCACAGCGACACATAAATCCGATACAGCTAATGATACTAACAAATAATTACATGGTCTTCTTAATTTACGAACTAAACACACAGCTACGCATACCAATATATTACCGATTATTGTGCCTAAAATTACAGCTAACAGGATAATACTGATTAGAATCGTTTGGATTGTTATCTGCTTTGTCGTCTCATCATCAATCTCATCATCATCGAATTGAGTAACGAGTGTCGATGGTGATGAGAATGATGATGATGACAGCGTGATTTCAGCCAGAGATGGATAGGGTGCAATGGTGCCTGTTGAATATTTCGTGAGGTTAGCAAGAAAAACACTCGACAGTAGCGTCGTGGTGGACTGTGAAGTCGATGAAATCAGATTGACGTTGAATGACTCTTCAGAAAAGTTCAAGTTGTTGTTATTGAAAGCGTTGATCGTGTTTTTCGCATCTGTTAGATTAAAAATGTATGACATGGGATCCATAAGCTCATCCATAAAAGGAAGCTTTTTTCGTTGATTCGCCTGTTCGAATTAGACAAAATCCGGGCGGTGATTGAAATATCGAATGAAGAATCGAATTGAGTTTTCCATTTATATTTATTGCACGCAAATACTTCTTCTTCTTTCTTCCCTTGACTTCTTCTCGTTCTCTATCCTTAAGAGGCGTTTCTGGTGTCGAAACTTCGACTATGGAGGTGATGAAAATTTATTACTTCTCGTTGTGCAAATTATTGTGAAAATGTATCTAACACGAAATCGAAGGGTTTTGATCGCAATCGTGTATTTGTTCACCTGTTGCCACTTTTTCTTTCTATTATTATATCTTCACTGTTATCCCTTACGATGCGAGATGAATTACATTTACTTATTTATTCATAGCACTTCTCATTACTCAAGTAAGGGAGTAATTTTTGCAAAGGGGAACCATTACAAAAGTTTCTGCTGTAGCAGCGACTTAATTCAATATTTCTCATTTCATATGGAAAAGTGGTGGAAATTTTCCCAGCAAAAATATTCCTGGTTCGTTTTCTTTGGGTTGAACAAAATCTGACTAAAGAAATTGTCTCATTCCATGCGCTCTGCTTAAATTTGCTTTAGGCTTTAAATTTAATGTTGGAAAATCCTTTTGATTAAACTTTTCAAGAAGCTTTTCACACACATTTTCCTTTCATTGCGTGCCCTTGAATGTCGCTCTTATAATGACTTGATGACTTGAACTTCACAAGGTTATTAATTTTTGCCTTGACCTTTACTTTTCTCACTTCTTTCTGAAAAGAGATAAAATTAGAAACGGAAAATCGATTAGTTTTTTTTTGTTTCGTTATGTCCATTATGGTGGTGGTTTGATAAATTGAGAACGAGTGTGATAGAGGCGAAAAATGACAACATGAAACAAGAGATTGCTAAATTATGTGTGCATCGGATTACATTCAATTAAGATTCTATAATTCAGTCATTCAGATACTTATCATGACTTCCCATGAAGATAGCAGTAAAAATTATTGTCCTAAAAGCTACTCTCAAAAAGGAACATGAACAAGAACATCACATAAAGTATTATTGAGGCATATAAAGATTTTAATCTTAATGTTTCCTTTGTCAACATATTACATAGAAGACAAAAACATTAAAAATCCTTCATCAGAGAAATATGACGTTAATTTTCATTGTTCCACACGCCCTGTAATGTCAAGTGTCGCTGTGAACGAGAACATTCACGATCTAATTTATTTCATGCTTTATGACTCGTATAAATTTTTCGTGTGGCTCTCCACTTTTCGTGTGTTTGTGCTTTTTGGAAAGCTCAATGAAAAGTTTTGATGAAGAGAATTTTCCAAAATAGGAAATTCACTTGCTATGTTAATTTTTTTTCATACACATCAGATTTTATTTTCTGGTTTGCTCTCCGTCATATCCTCCTCGTCACTTTTTCACTCTGCTTTAGACTGAATGATTAATGATAAAAGCAGAAGCCGTAACATAACATAACCGCAATTCATATTTCGCATCAACTTTCTTGTAATCGTCTGCTCTTTTATGGCATAAAATGATTCATGAAAATAAGGTGTGTGTAGGTTTCAGGTTGTTCATGAAATTAAATGTTAATTGTAAATGAAATCTGGGACAGAAAATATTTGAATAACAACAATTAAAAGGAAAACATGATTTTATTTTCAACATTTTCTTATTTTCATATTTTAGATGTCTGCCTTTATCTGAACTTTTAAATAAGGTCAGCATATAAAAATATTTCATTATGAAGCAACATGAAAGCATGAAATGATAATGTATTCAAGAACATTCATTTAAATATAATGTAGAAACGGTAATGATTGCAAGCATCATGCTAGCAAGCATTATAACTGTTTAGCATCGTAAAATGTCTTCAATTCTCCACATGAAGAAAAGTTTTCAGGTTTTTCCTTCCTTAAATTCGTGTACATTTTCTTTCATAACTCATTGTTAAACAAAATTAAAATGTTCGGGAAATTATAGATGTGAGATGTAATGAATTCTAGCGACATAATTTTCACTTGCAAAATTGAAATTGTGAAGTCAAAACAAATTCCTGCTTTTAAAGATTTTCTGAATATTCTGATCAATAAAGTCATGGTAAAACATAAACTTTGAACATTTTCACAGGAAAAGTTTTAGCAATATGCTTTCATAGGATGCATTGACGATATGAAAGTTTTCATAAAGAATATTTAATGGCATCAAATGAAAATTTCTTTGGCTTGTTACACAAAAAATAATCTTTGGAAATTCCAATGAGCGGAAGAAAAATCTCATGAATTTTAATAAAAAAAAATTTGAAGCTTTTAGGAAAATGGAATTGAAAGCATCATATTTCAGCAGCATGTTAAATGTAAAGGAAAGTTATTCCGTCAGTTTTAAAATCTTTAGCATTTTTATGATTGAAATTCAGTAAGTTAAATGGAAAAATGACTGCACTTCTAATCATTTGAAAGCTTTCAAAGAAAAACGAGAAGTTTTTTAACACATAATTTATGTTCAATTTTCACCGCAAACTCTTCATGAAACTTAAGTTAAATAATTCTAAAATTCATCAGCAGTCGATGTTTTGTTTTGTTTTTTGTCGATTAAATATGTAGGAGTAAAATATTGTCTTCATTTGTGCTTTTTCTCTCATAAATAATCATCTCGGAGACAAATAAAAATGAAAATTCATCACATTTCTTTATTTTGTTTTCTATTGTGTAAGCACTTGGCGATGTCGCGACAGAGAAAGAAAATGCGAGAAAATGCTCCCTCTTGTTGAACGAAAATGAAAACAAAAAATCTATTATTTACTCAACAAACATCAGTTTATGATTACAGCATAGTAAAACCAATTTTCTTGCATACAATCAAAACATTGATTTGATAATATTTACAGTCCCGTTCAAGTCTAAGAATGCTCGTCTTATGATGTCAATCTGAAATAATGATTTTCATTTAATCGACGAAGATATTTTGCTATGTTGCCAAACTTCAACGTTTATGACAATTGAAAAACCCGAGTTTATAAATATTCAGTTAGTTAACTTTTGTTTTGAGAGAAATGTCGTAAACAAGTACCTTCGGTTTAAAAATATAAACCACTGGATTCCAATCAATTACTAATTGTTGTGTATTTAAACCGTACAAAAAAAGACAGACGCGACAAGGTGAAAATTAATTTCGAAACACTCGTTTTTTCATAACAGAAAATTAAAACAAAAATATTGTCACTGAATTTTGACGAGTATTCAGAATTAATTTCATCGATTTATATTTTATTTAATTAGGAATTAATTAAAAGTGAGAGACGAATGATGATAAGTTTTAAATAAATATGTTGGCGTTAATGAGATTTTCATTCATTTGCGCACCTACGCATGTTCTAAACATTTACCACTGTACTCCTTAAAGCTGCTTTCATTAATGATCATAAAAATCATGCGAATGTAATCTATTTGTGTTTGTATAAGTGAAAGACCGATGATAGACGTCAGCTCACTTAAAATACTTTAAGTAAAAATAAAAACGGAAGTTGCACTAATATCATACCAACAATTTTCATCACGCCATAAACTAAATAAAAACTTCCAAGTCAATAACGAGAGGGAAGAATCTTTCAGACAATCTGCTTACATTTACACCAGCTGAGTCATTTTCTTATTCCGACTGTGTTCATGGCTTTGAAGATTCAAGGTTCGCTTTTCTTTCTCCATCGTCATTTTTGTTTTGTCTTTTTTTTCTTTCAAGTATATAATGTATCAATGTGGAATGTAAACACTTGGTCTATGACTGAGGTAATTATAAAAATCTTAGACCACTTAATTATCTAGAAAAATTTATAATTACATGATATCCATTCTCTTCAGCTACTAAAATAACTTTAAACAATATTTAGTGGAAATGCGAATGTATGTAGATTTGTGAAATAATTAGAAGAGAATCGCGGAAGCGCTAAAATTATGAAAAGCTAATCATTGATATTTGATCCGTGGGACGCGTGAAAATCTCAAATTTTGTAAACAAACGAAAGAGGGAAAATGAATATTTAAACAGTCGCTTGAGCATTTTTCAAAGTTGATATTCAGAGATATTTGTAATGTAGAAAGACTTCTCTGTTTACAACAAGAGGAAAGAAAAGATAAACTTGCATAAAATTTGTTTTCTTTTTCTTTTCTTCATACCTATATCTCGATGTAGAATGGAAAACTTCCATTAACAACTACATGCAAAAGTTAAATGTGTTTAATTCATACAAACTCTTCACTTACTTAATGAAATCCCAACAATCACCAACATAAAGTATTTAATGACTTTATATTTAAGCTTAGAAAATATAAGAAGCGAATGATTTATTGAACCACATGTTTTGTATTGAATAAATACATCATGATCGTTCGTTCAGGTGAGTTGGAATAAATTTAAATGTCTACCAGATAACTAATGCCAAAATAATTTATTTAAATAAAAATTCCTAACTCTTCTATAAAAATATAATTATTGGAGGGAAAATTGGGTAATAAACTTAGCATAAAACATTCTCTAGTGTTTAGTTCGGATCCCATGCCATTCAAGGCATGTCGATGTTCCAATGAAAAAGTAAATAGAAAATTTTATAGCGTTTACTATTGTAAACTCTATTTTTAATCTACGAACAAGTCATTTTTGGGAAATTATATACAATTCGTATTCAGCATAAGCATAAATTATTCACATCGCATTCCCAAGCTTATTCGCAACTGACGCGATGAAAGTTTGTTTCAGTATTTACACATTAAACGCGGCTTTTTTTAATATTTTCAGTCGCACTCTTACGCTTTCCAAACTTAATTGAAGGTAAACACAAATTGTTCAAAAGCATGCGACATTAGTTTTTGTATTGTTGTTGCTTTTCCTCTACATGCTAAGGTAGAGTTTTACATTTTGCACACTCTGTTGTGCAACTTTTAATTAAGCAAAAAAATGTAAGAATACAATGTTGCTTAAAAACATGAACAAACATTTGAAGGGGTTTAAAAGCTTAACTCTGAAATAAAAACTGCTGATTGTGTTGATGTTGACTTTACTCGAATGCTTGTCTATGAATGCTTTTGTGTTTCGTGTGTACTTTATTCTTCCAAGCTCGACGGAAATGTTTAATTACGGAGCAAAAAAGTGTTTTTGATTATTTTTATTTTGTTTTTTGTTTCATGTCATGACAAACGAAATGTCGGAACGAGTAAAGTCGAAGTAATCACGCATCGTGAATTTTCGGGAATTTCATAGATGTTTTCCTGGTAATGAAACTGATTAGAATTTTTACTAATTTTCGTCTCCCTAACATTTTTCAGTAGCTTTTTAAGGTAATTTCCATAATGCAGTAATTAGTCGAAATCGGAACATTAATGTTGTGTACCAACTTGAATCTATGACATTAAACGACAAAAGCAAGGAAAGGTAGCTGACAACGTCGTAAAAGATTAAATTAACGTTACAAATTCATCTAACACGATAAATTTATGGTTCATTAAAGTGGTGGGGTAGCGTGCAATGAATGTCTCTTTTATTCTTTACTGAATTTTAAAGGGGGAAAAAGTCATCGCTGCGAGTAATGTCGTTATAAGACAAAAAGAAAGAAACGAGAGACTTCTTACGAACAATATTTACATCATCGTTGTTGATGGCTTTATTCCGTTGTCAAAAGGATTTTCAAGGAGAAAAAATTAATCATTTTAATGGTTATTGCCAAACGAAATGTGAGGTCTCTCCATCGATGAGTAGGCGAATAAAAAAAAGCTGTGATACCAAAACATTGGTGAAGCCTTTACGAGAAGGGTCGAGGTAAGTATTTATGTCGTAAGTACTTGATGTTCTGTAAGCCTCAAGAATTCCATTCTTTACGTTTTTTGTCAAAATAAATTACTTAACTTTCACCATAAAGTAGAAAGCTTTACGTCTTTACGTCACAACGATGAGAATACCGAAATTCAATTTCCAAGTTAGTGACTAATATTCCTTTATTGTATCAGCGAGGATTCAGTGCTTTTAATAATAAATTAATCATAAGAGAAGAAAAAGAAAAAGTTTTTTTATCGTTGAAGTTCTTCGATATTTGTTATCATGAATTCAATAAAAATGTTGACTTAGTCATACTCATTTGTCACCAAAGTGTTATCAGAAGATTACAGAAATATCTTGAGAAATAAAAAAAGATTATCGATAACATTATGTGTTAGTTAGTTAACATTAGATAGTTTCTAATTTGACATAAAGGTTTATCGGAATAAAAAAATGTTTTTCAAGTTTCAAGTTGAATAATCTTTGAAAATGTTAAATAACATCGCAGAGATTTTCATCAACAAGAATCTTCTCATGGTTTTTACGTTTAAGAAAATTAAATTTATGTAATACGATACTTCATGAGTCGTTTTCAGGTGACACCCCAAACAGCAAGCCATTAAGTGCCGAATATTGCCACAACGTAAACGTATCATCATGATAAGACAGTTTTGACCCTCATCAACCGTAGGCTTTCAATGCCAAAGACAAAAACACAGCATTAAAATAATGAAATCATTTAATGCTCCAAAAAATCAATCAATCAATCATCGTTGTTGCTGATGATGTGAAAAGTGTTTGGGTCAGCGTTTCTTTCGAGGCCTTCAAAGAAATTCCACCAACAGATATCCATGGGAATCATTGTTTGCTTTACAAATTGAGGCTCGGCCAAGAGAGTTTGTTCCTCTACTTCCTAATGCATTAGGAAGAGAAATGTTAGTGAGTTTACCGTACATAACTCACGCAAGTGTTTGTTTGATTTACTCTCATGCCCGATAATGTTTACAAGATGTTATTGCTTGTTATGTTTACATTTTAATGTGAATATATAATAAAATGCCTTTCATGAAGTTGTAGAAGAAGAAAACTTCGACAAAAAAGTGCTTCAAATTTCAAAAGTGTTGTTCACTTACTTCATTCAATTTTCTGAAGATTTTTGAGAGCGAAATCTGATTTGCTTGTTTAAGAAATGATCTTTAACATTTTATATAAATTTTTGATTAAAATCTTATTATCTCAAATGTGAGACTTCCTAAAGCCTACAAATAAAAAATGATAATGAAATAAAAAAAGGTTCATATAAAAAAGTTTTACAATTTTTTCCAATCAACACATTAGAAGTAGATTAGAAAAAAATAGAAAGTTTTGCCTAAAAAAATAAAATAAAAGAGAGAAGGGAGAAAAATTTATATAACGATCTACATAATACCCTTTTGAATGGAAAACTTTTTTGTGATGTTTGTGTTTTGTTTCTCATTTGTTTCTAGAGTAAGTGGTGAAGCAATTGTCTATTTTTATTAGATAGCATCATGGAGTAAAATTAAGCTTGATGTCGTTAAGCCATTGTTTCATTTGAACTTTTGAAAGAGGCTTCACAATCAAATGAAATATCATATTGGTACAATGCTCTCGAAATTCATTTTCTCACAAAGGGTTTTCGGACAAGCTTCTTTGTATTGTGCTCAAGTTTTCTCATTTCCCACTTTTCCGTAGTTGGGTTTATAAATAGATAGAAGAGTGTGCTTCAAATCGTTCAACCCTCAACGGAGAATACATAATGCATATTTACCCGTGGAGGTTTCACGAACATTTTTTTTATTCCTCATGCCTTAAGTTTATCGATTTTTTTGCTATTCATTCAATTTTCTTCTCTTTTCAGCGCATCACCTGACACATAAACGAAGACAGAAGGAAAGTAGAGGAAAGTCTTTTTTGCTGCTCTCATTTCCTCAGAAAAAAATTATTTTTTATATATTTTTATTAAATAAATTTTCTCTCAACATTTTCCTGTCCTCATCTCTGCCTTTTGCTGTGCTGAGCTTTTGAAAAAGAAAGTACATAAATATGCTTCGGGACAAAACATAAAACATCAGAAACAGAATAATATTTGAACAAGATGAATGAATTGTTAAATTTGAAAGGTTGTTAGTATGTGAAACCATATTTTTGTACGTACAAAACAACAAAATTTTCTTTCTTCTGTTTTCTGTAGAAAATTTAGGTTCAAGATTCCGACATTGGCCAATTAAAATTGTTTTACAAGAAACTGACACGAGTGTCGAGATTCATTGCCACTGCTTTTGATAAGCTTTTATTGTATTTCACATTATCAATCATCTTATCGTCAACATAATGTGGTTGATGGACGACAACAACCGTGAATATGAATGATGAAGTACTTTTCTGTGGAAAATAAAAATATTTTTCCTCCACACATTTTCTAACTTGATATATTTATTTCACCACCGTCGCTCAAAATATAATTCAATCATCAGCTAAATAAGCTCAAAATCAATTATAAATTATCGCATTTAAAGAAAATGAAAACGTGAAATTTTTTTATAATTGTTTTTAAGTTTACATATATGTACGTTCGTATCATTAATTTCTTATCGTAAGCATATTATGATATCTACTCATTTAAGTCTGCATTGTTATCGACATGAAATGAGTGTTTGAAACTTTTTCTTTCCAAGCCAAGACATACTTAATCGAAATACCTGCAAAGGTATGACTGAATGAGACATTTGAGACAACCGATAACGCGTCGACTCCAACAAAAAGTAAATAATAATTTCCGTTGAATAGATTTCTCGAATTCCTATTTGATGTTGTAATCACAGATGATTACTGTTAATCAACATAATTAAATCATTTCATTGCCTACGAACCAAACTAAACTGATCAATAAAGTCTATTAATACTAACTAACCTCAGTCGACTACTGATTATCTGACAATTTTTATGCGTTCGATAGAGACTTATGAATGCTTTTAACTCATTTAAATATAGAAGAGAACTTCTTCTAAAAATAAATTTCGTGAATTCAGTTTATTTTTTTTATTTTTCATTTCCACATTTATACGATATTATGAAAATTTTATCGACATTTGAGTTTATTCAGTTGCTGGTTTTCCAAACGATAGAAAGACACGATGAGAATTTTTTTGTTTTTTTCTTAAGGAATTTAAATTTATAAGTGCGGTAGGTATAGAAAAAGAAAATCTGATATGACTCACAAAGAAATCAATATCAAGTGCGATTATTCTTTGTTTAATTCAATTATAATCTATTAAGCAATTTTTTTTCATGAAAAGGCTTTACTGGTGCTGTTAAGTCGCTGTTCCAGAATATCCCCTTATGATTCAGTTTTCTATATTTCCACTGAAAACATTTTCCTTATTTAAAGCTCTTGTTAGTATTCCACAACAAGATTTATTGGCTATTGAGTTTGAGTATCGATTTTAGCATGAATTCGATACATAACGAATCTTTTCTCATTTAAACAACATAGTGATCCCGGATGTAATTACGATCTCCCAGTGCTTTAAGAGTTTCTCGTTTCAAATCTCTTGCAACTTATTCCCTATTTTCAACCTTGAATGGCTGAGAATTCAACGACTCGTAATAGAGGAATGTTTAAGACTCGAGCGGACAAAATAGCAACATAAACACGTATTTGTATATAATGACATTTCTATTTTTAACGGTGCTTGCGCAATAATGTTTTATTAGTATTAACATTAAAGATTTCTCTACAAAGCTTTGTGATTATTTATTAATGATTCTGTGTTATTAGCATTTGAACTATACTCGACTTTATAATATGAAACAATTGATTGACAACCTAGATGTAGTTGATAATACTTTCAATTTTTGTAAATAGTAATGTTTCAATTATTCTATTTCTGGAAGTTTGGATTATTCCTATGAGGAATGTGTGTAGACATAATTAAAATCTGATTAGAAGGAAATAAAGATAATATTCACCCATCTACATAGATACATTCTGATTGGGAAAGCATGTCGAATATTTATTTGTAGTAAGTCGTTATCACAAAGCTTCATAAATATTAAAAGAAAATTGATTTTATCATTAATGTCAATGGAAAGAGATTCAAATTATCGATAACGTAACGTTGAAACAAAATTCTGATTTGTCCATTTTAATTCGTAATATAAAGAGAATAAATTGCTGCGTGCGTTTGATTTATAAAGTGATCATATATTTCAAGTTAAGGAAGCACATAAATTGCCAACAGACATTGATGGGCCGAAAAAATCTATGAAGTGACGTTGAAAACTACTTCAGCAATTGATCGATGGCGGGCTCAGTAAATGGCAATCGGTTGCCACCACAAGTGGCTATAAAGATGGCAATAATAATCAATATTAATGACTTTTTTTTAAAGCAAATGTCATGTCAAGCGCACTCCCTCGTTGACTGTTGTTATAATTATCAGCAATGCCTAAAATAGAACTAGCTTTGAATGTCAAGCATTACAAACAGAATTTCTCATGCACCTCGAAAACTTTTAATTAAAAATGTTATGTCTAAACAGAAAACTGATTTTATTCTGTCAACATTATTTGCATTTAAATTAAAGCACTTACAATTCCGCTTGATTTCATTCTTGTCCAACATGCTTGTTGTTGGAGGTAATTCAATTAAAATGATGAACATGTAAATTGCGCTGAGATATTTAAGTGTTTCGTATCACTGATGAGAGATTTTTATTCAGGTAGGCGAATAAACTGAATAAAAACTTTCCTTCTTCTCTGCAACACATGTTTTCGTGAATTTTCTTCTCGTATTTAAAAACGGCAGAGAAAACCATCAAAAATTTTCTTTTTCCCTTTTTCTAATACATTTAAGTTGCTGAGTGCGTAGAAATTTTCGTACAATAAACCTGATATTTGCAAGCAAAATAATAAAAGAAGGAAAAGCAGAGAATTGAATTTAAAATTGGTGCTTTCTGTTATCATTCGCATATTTCAGCTCCTTCTTTTTCTTTAATGCAATTTTTTAAGCACATAAAGAGAGAAATGTTTGCTTAAAATCGTTTTCAATTAATTTTCAACGATTTATTTCTTATTAAGTAAACATTGAATGAAAGAATATTTGATAAGCGTGTACATTTGTGTGCAATGTATGTCACAGAAAAACGAGGGTGGAATACAAAAATCAAGTTTTTATTGAAGTTAAAATGAATAAATTTAGACCACAATGTAACTGAAGTGACAAAACGAACATCCAAGATATTTTCTTTTCTTTTATGACTTCAATAAATGACACAATGCCAGTTCAGAAATAGAGTGAAAATAATTAAAATATTTAATGGGTTAATAAAGTTAATTTGAATTCAAAAAGTAATAGTCTGAATCAAAATAAATCAAATTAATAGTGGAAAGAAAAAAATCAGACTTCGTCATGACATTGACTGTTGAATTATTCAATAAAATAATCATTAAATGTGCAGGTCATACAAGCAAAGCTTGCGATCGTAAATCAGAAGAATTTGAGATCATCTCAGTTTGGTGATTTTTTGAGCAAAGAATTTTTTTTTGTTTTGTTATTTTAATGCTTCTGAAATTGTGTTGATGTTAGTAACGTGACACGCAAGTAACGAATGAATGATGTGATAATGAAATCGTGAAACGTAGAAATATATTTACAACTATCTAATGATGAAATTCGAATGCATGATGGCTATATGTAAATAAAAATTTTATTTTAATATCATTTCACATCAAATTAACAACTATCAGCCAGATGTGAATCTAGTCTCTCAACTTGTTTTTTGATTTTTATCTTTTTCCCGCATATTTTATATTCCATAGAGAGACAAACAATCCGAAACCGAAATAAAAACAAAAACTACTTCGATATTGAAGCTTACTTCAAGTGCTGTGGGAATGATAGTGAACTTTATTCAACACAAACTGTTATCAATTCTTAGTAGAAAGTATGTAAACAACTTCTTTATAGCTTTTATCAATTCGTTTGGGAATATCTTGTGGTAAAAAAAAGTAAACTTGAAAACATATTTGTAACCGCAAGGCCATTGTAAATGGTTTATTTCTTAATAGAACATTCATTTGCTATGTTGTTATTTATTTACTTCCGCAAAAATGCAAACGCAACGAGCTTTGAGCAAACAAATATTTATCATTTGAATTTTTAACAGAGTGGTTGTAAATATTATCACAGTTACCTCAATAAATTGAGTCAAGCACTCAAAAGCACTTGAAATCCAGACATCATGTTTTGATGTAGACATCAAAGACATGGTGTCATGTGGTACAGAATTTTGTAAAAATTTTCGACGATCTTTAATGTTTCATCTGCTTTATTGAAAATGACTTTTTGATTAAAATGTCGGTATTAAACACTTGGGAATTAAATGTTTAATGTAAGAATAATGAAGCTAATGATCATGACATCGAAGAAGCAGAGAGTCTCATGCAATATGGAATTATTAGCATTAGTAATAACAGTTGATTCATCTTCAATCTTTTCTTTGTTCCTCTACACGTGTGTTTAACACTGAAGACAACATTGCGTGTATTACTATGACGCTATATCTACTTGTATATATTTTTTTCTTGTTCGAATGCTTCTACGTCCTTCACTTATTCTTCTCTATAACAAATAAATTTCAATTTCATATTACGGCAATTACTGGACGCCAGAAAGGTGAACTGAAACACCACAAAACTTTATTAAACGATTTATTCAAATAAGTTTTCGGAACTTAAATATTTTAGGAAATGTCAGTTTAATTAAGTTAGTTGCTCGAGTAATTTCACGCTTTAATATTTATATCTCACAACTCTTTCAATTAACGTAGATGTCGACAATTTTGAACAAAGGCGTTACTCACGATTTAGTAACAAAGGAACAATTACAACGACTTTATAAGAAGGAAGTGAACTCATATTGCATGATGCTGTTGAGTGAATCGCCCTTTATTTGAAAGCTTCTTCTGATAAAAATTAATCACTTTGCGACAGAGAATAAAAAAAAGGGCGAGGATGGAAGAAAACAAAGCTTGTGAAGTTTTTCACGCGTTGATAGAAATAAATTTCACGTAATTGTCCTTTATTATTTCGTGATAATTAAATTTCTCTTTTCCCTTTCAATTAATTTCGGTCGCTGTTCGTCGGTTACCAAATGCAGTTGCTTGGGGTTCGTTCACTGCTTGTTATTAAATGATAGCGAGCACCTTCATTAAATCTCACAACTTTTTGTTTTCCTTTCCTTTCTTCTCATCCGCACTGTTGAGGTTCAGGAACCTTAAAAATATATGAAGCAACATTTCATTCAACAAATTTAAGAGCAGCAATAACACCGTCGGTGGCGTTCACTTCGACTTCATATTTAAGAAGCGTCCGGATGTGTCTTAATAAATCAAAATAATTGAAGCAACCCGAATTGTTGTCTGATACCGTCATTTTTCATCAACACTCTGTGATCATTCAAGTTAAAGCTCTCACGACTCACTTATTTTATTACAAAGACACGCGCATCATGTCCGCACTTAATTAAATTTGTTCATCACTCATAAAAAAGATCGCATTAATAAATTTCAGTTTGATGAAAACCATCTCTTTTCAGCTCCTTTTATCCGCTTTTTTTGTTCGTCAATTTTTTTCTCATCTACCAAAAGTTGCTAATGCTTCTTAAATGTTTTTACTGTTTATTATGCAAAGGCTTCTCATTCATAAGAGTTGGTGCCTGTTAAACTTTTATTTATTACTTTCCCCTTAGTTAGCGGTAAACAAGACTTCAATAGACCAAAACAGAAAGGAAAGTATCATTGTTCGTAGTTCGTTGTTCGATAAGCGATAGATAGAAACATAAATTCCATTTTAATTAAAAAATTTCGAAGCGAGGAAAAACTTTTATCGAATGCAATGAAAACTCATAAGTAGCGAAATATCTTCATTATTAGATATCGATTGTGGTATTAAATCTTTCCACCACAAAGACCGAGCTTCTCACAACAACAAAGAGCTGCACCGAAGTTTGATAAACGAACTAACTTTGCTTGAAAAAAAAGCAGTAAAACCACATGAAAAAAATAAAAGTTCTTTGGAAAAGATTTGGTTTGTTTGTCGAGGAACAGAACAGAAAGTTGATGGATGGCAAAGAAGAACACGCAATGTAAAGAAAGCAACACGAGCCAAAGGCAACCTTAAGAAAAGAGAAAAAAAAGTGCCGACAAATATCAAAGGCAAAGTTCGAACCATAAGGAAAGTTTTCATCATTTCTTCATACTTTTATCAGAAAAAAATCTGTTTTGTTTCTTCTCTCTTTCCCCTTTCCCTCCCACTGTGTTCACCTCCCATTTACAACTTTTGTCTGTTTACTTATTGATTCTACTTTTGTGGTTTATGATACTTTTAGCAATCGAAACTTTTGTTCGTCTAAGCTTTTCAACTTTCATCTGATTTCCATCAAAAGTTGATTTTCCTGTGAATTGTTTTGTTTTGAAAGTTAAACGTTAGTTAACAAGCTGAAACAATTGTGAAATTGATTTTGTTCGTTTTAAGAATGGAGAGCTTTTCCATTTTCCATTTTCATTCAAGAGGTATTTTCTAGAATTCTATTTCAAGGTCGATATTTACTCTACGATATCTTCAACAATGCATGAAGTTGTCTTTTGTAAATAATAACTTTTAATTTATGATTTGGAGCTTTTGCTTTGTTAGGTACAATGAATGGCAACTTTGCTCATTTACATGATTTACAGAATGAAGCCCAAAGCCAGTACACCAGTCACTTTGTGGGAATGTTTAAAATCTTTATTTGAATTTCTTTGGCTCCTTCTAAGCACTGAAAAGACTCTTTATGGTTGTGCTAAGGGCGATTGTCTTTAATTTTCCCAACAGAAACTTTGACAGAGGAAGCTTGGGGTATTTTCATATTTTAGGAGAAGAATTTTAAATAAACATTCATAGTAAAGTTTTAATTGCTTTCTTGTTTTCACATTTGTCATGAGAACGTTGACGAGAAGAAGGTAAGAAAGAAAGAAGAAAAATCTTTCCTCTCTGCAGTCTAAATTGGCACAGATAATAATTTTAAGTAGAAACATAAAGTTGCCACCTTTTCATCTTATGCTTGTTTTTGTTACTCATCCAGTTCATTCATTTATTTGCTTGCCAAGATATTTTTTGCTTTTGAAGAAAGAAAAAAAAAGAAGCAATTGAAAAACAGAAGTAAATGAAAAAAAGGAAATTCTTTCTTCATGGTTGAATTATCAAGTGATATCTACTCTAAAATTAAACAGAAAAGTGCCTGCTTTAGCTCTTCCTTGCAACATGCCATTAGGAATAAAATAAACCATTTACTTCTAATCTATAATTTATAGCTGTTGCTGTAAAATGAAACAAATGAGATATCAGCACTTAAGAGAATACTTGAAATGTTCTCAAAGTGTTAGTCAAAATGAACTCACGCAATTTTTATCGAATAGAAAAATGAAAAGTGCTACGAAACTCTTATGTTTGACGTCTGCTTGATGCAGTGAAGTTGTTGGCATTAAAAGTGTGCAAAAAAACGTTAAAGAGAGGAAGTAGAAAAGGAATTAACATTTTATGTACAGACTCTGCTGATTATTTACTTTCAAGGACTTCGTGTCGGAGAGCCCTTCTCGAAAACTCAAATATGCATTAAAATAACTTGAATGAGAAAGAAAGAAAGTCAAAAGATTTTTTTTTTTCTTTATAAAAGAACATAATGAAACATTGAATCTTAGGGACTCTCAAAGTCTCAAACATTTGTGATGTTAATTAGCATTAAAAATCTCTCATTTGGAAAGTTATTGTTTTCGTTTCATTTTGGATTTCAATTCGATTGCTCAATTAATCTTTTAATGGGGGAGAAGTAAAAAAAAAAAGAAAGTTGACGAAAATTTTCCGCAAAATGTTTTCATTTTATAGAAAAGATTAGTGAAGCAAAACGAGCTTTTCGTAAAGTTTGACATTAGACATTTCTGTTTCCATCTGAGCATTTAGGGGAATGCGCAACAGTTTTTCATAAATTTAGGAATTAATGTTGTAAAGAAAGAGTTCTTGAAAAGAATTTGTAAGAAAAAAAAAGTCTAATGAGACATGAACATGACTTTGTGATCTTTAACGACACACGACTTGCTTTTCTAGAAGATTACACACGCACTGGTTCTTATATCAAGGATATACTTCCTTTTCATGACTTTCTTAACCCTTGAGCTCAGTTAAATAAGTAACAAAACATGAGAGAAATGTATAAAATGGTTCTCATCTCTTTTATTTATGTTTATTTACTTATTTTTCTTTTCTTTCTCATGACTAAGTAGATGTTGAAGTAAGCACTTTTCGTTTATATAAATGTTTTAATCGACTTAACTTGAACAATTTATGTGAGTTTTCATAAGAAGTGAAATGGAAATTCTCATGGACAAAACCGAATCACATGAGTGAGTTTGATAAATATGTGTCGAGCTTTCATAAGTAACATTTTGATGTCACCCTCGTGCATATAAAAAACTCTGACACGATAAAATTTCCACTGATGTTTGAAAGCATTAGAAATTTCCATTTTTTTCCATTAACACAACGAATTTTAATAAGAGTCAATCTGAATAAGAAGAATGAAAAGGTCCTTTTTATAGGTTGACAAGATGCGAGTTTAAGCTGCCTTTATCAGCTGCACTTACTTTCTCTCTTTTCTTGCTTTTGCTTCAATGAGAAGAACATGAATGAATGAATGAATGAATGAAAGGTGAGAAAATCTCCTTAGATGTCTTTTGTTGAAAAGAAAAGGAGGCGAGGCGTAGGCTAAGAAGGGATGATGACGAATGAAAAAACGCAACGAAATCCTAATCATTCAAAAAGAAAAAAAGAGAGAGAGAACGAAATTGAAAATAAAGTTGATGAACAATCAATATCAGAAAATATTTGAAAGACTTTTTAATCTACACGACGACAAGACGAAGAAAAATGTCGACAATCTCTTTCTATAAGTGGAGCACGATAAAATGAAAAGTTTATAAGTTGATAAAGAAGAAGCGACCGATAACAAAAGATAAACTGATATAAATCCGTTCGTATGAACTTTGATTCCGCTCAAGGGACTCATTTGGAAAAGCCCGAAAAAATGACCGACGAAATCAACAAACTGTTCTCTGTAATTTGAGCCTAATTTCACGTATCTACACGATAAATCGATTCTTAATCCATCATATTAATAAATATCAGTTTTTTTCTTCATTTCAATTCTCATTCCTTTTAAAAAATTTTTTCTACCCGTTTCAAATACTGATAACGTACTAAAACACCCACTGAAGGAATGATAAATGACTTTAGTATTTGTGTCTAACAAAGGAAAGCAAGAGCACAAACGAAAAGTTTTTTTTATAAAAAGAAAAGAAAAAAAATCCTATGTAAATATTTTCCATTGAAATCATCCGGCTCCAAAGAGCACAGCAAATGGAGAAAGGGAGACAAGGCAAGCCAAGTCATTCTGTATACTAATACAATGTTCTTCTCGTTTCAATGGCAAAGGTTTTCATTCTCTAGATTCGGCCGAATATGCATGATTTTACTTAAATTGCTGGTGTGAACGATGAATATCAACAGAAAGTCTTGAGGTGGAAGGAATTTCCATACTTCATATCTATACTTAGTTCACAACAGTTGATTTAAAAACATGAGAGAGGCACAAGAAAACGATGATGATATGAAAATGATAGCGAAGAATAATAGGAAAATCCTCAAATGTTTTTGTGGAAATTTCTTTCTGTTTTGTTTTTCGTAATGTTTCTTCTCGGAAAGTCTTCGAGAAGAGAAGAAAAAGCCGCTTATGATGGAAGAAAAAAGAAGATGAAGAAGCCATCAAAAGCAATAATGCGAATGAAATTACTGTCGAATCGAATTCATAAAAGGCAATAAACAATGTAATGTAATGTGATTTAAACAGGATAGGATGAAGAGA